TACAATAGAGCCTTGAGTATATTCCAGATAGCTTTCTGACATGTGAGGGAAGCTGCAACAGCGCAGTTGACGGTTGATTTTCTGTAGCAAAACAGTGGGTGCGTCTTGAAAAAAGTAGTGATAGCAGAAGTGACGGCTGTGTTCGCGCCGTAGTATTTCTGGTGCTGTAGAACTCGTACGACTGACAGGCAAAAGGCAGGGTTATTAGCAGCTTGACCTTGAAGCATTAGTTTACTTATTCATATCGGTGAACAAGGAGGTGCTGTACGAGACAGGTTCCCTGGTTCCCTGGACAACGGCCAGGAGCACTGATGCTCACAAATCCAAAAGCTGGGCTTAAGAGGAGCAGACATCCAACAGTTTGCACGAAGCCTGTGAGCGAAATGTTCTGGAAGCCGAATGCTGATCGAAAGCTGCAAACTGCGACACGTAACTCGTCAACCTCGAAACCATTCTGGAGGTCAGCCGAATATTGCGGAGCCGGTGGGCCGCTGAATCTGCGGGAGGATCGCAAGCCACGTCCTGCCGTCGTATGGGCAAACAATAAGACAGAGTATTCTGGCATACCGTGAACAGCGAACAAACTTGCACAGTCTTGTCTCGGGTACTATGACTCGACAGTCGCACGATAGAGCGGCCAGATTGGTCAAGACCTTCGAGGCACAGGCAAAGTAGACGCTTCTAAAAGCTGCGAGAGCGGTCGGATTCACAATCTACAAGAAGCTGGAAGCTAGGAGTAGCTAAAGATGCATCGTGGATACGAGCTTTCCTGGCCTAGCAAGGATTGATTTATGCGAGCAGCCCCCAAATATCGGAAAAACAATGCTGCCTTTTGCATTGCCTTCGGAGTGCCGTAGGAGAGGACAGTGTGGGGAGGGGTGGGTTAGCGACTAGTAGCGTAACATACTAATGTCTTTCAAGCTTGACCCGGTGATCACCCTAAACTCGAAACTCTAAACGCCTGAGCCCTAAACCCCCAAACCTAATCCAGAAAAAACCCAAAACTTTCCTAAATAACACCGCAGCCCCCCAAGCCCTAAACCTGGATCTGCCTGAAACTCCTCTTCCGGCTCTGCCATGGACGGCTCCAGTTCAGCCGTCTCCTCCGGCATGTGCTCATCAGCCAGTTGACGCTGCAGCGGCATTCGCCTGGAGAGTTTCGGGCTTAAGGGAGGGTTTAGGGGTTTAAGTTTAGGGGTTTAAGTTTTGGGGTTTAGGGCTTGGGGGTTTAATTAGGGTTTGGGGTTTCGGGGGCATGTCAGGGTTCGGAAACTTACATTGAGTCGTTGTCTTGAGCAGCGACAACGTAGAGCCAATTTCGAGGGAGGAGTTCAAGAGGCCAATGCCTAGCCCATCTTGAACCCGGGAGCCCGAAACGGTAAGAGCCCCCTCGAAAGAAAGAGGACGCCCAAAACCCCAACCCCAACTTGATGCTGCTTCTGAACAACAAAGGATGCCCACGAATGTCAGGGTCTTCAGCTTGGCATTGTGTTTCCTGCTATTTCCCTGATGATACCTGCAGAAAGGAGCCACCCTGAAAACCCCCAAATCTGCAGCTCTGCAGGCTTCGGCTGCGGCTTCGGCGGGGTCTGCGGGGCGCTCTGACCATTCCGTGCAACCTTGGCTGGCTGATGTCGCTCTACCTTGAGAAACCTGAAAGCTAGAACGGCGATGGGTCGAAGACCTAATCAACAATTCAATAATATAGGGGCCTGAATAATTGGAATGAACAGGGTTCTGGGGCATGTTATAGCGTGCTTATATATATATATAGAGATATATTTATATTTATATTTATATCTATATTTATTTATTTATATGCTGGTATTGCAAGCTGCTGCAAGCTGTCCCTATTGCTTATGGCTACGACCCCCGACCCCCATAGCCCTGTGGCAGTCCCAAGAAGATGTTGCGTAGCTTCTCAGCCTTAGACTGTTAAGTCCCAAGAAGGTGTTGCGTAGCTTCTCATCCTTAGACTTTTAATTCCCTAGATCCCGACACATCAACTCCACCCAAACCATCCCCGCTCGCAAAACTCTGCAAAAACCCGAAACCCCCCACTCCCACGTCCCTTAAAAGAAAGCAAACAGGAATGTTGCAATACGCGCAGGGGCCCCTGAGGATTGGACCTTTGGTCTCTTGGGGTATATTCCACTAGAGCTCTAAGAAGGAACCAAAAGGAGTGATGTTGGCAAGTCTACAGGCTACCACACTAATTCTATAATCTATCTTATTACATAACAAACACATAAATAAAACTATACATGTATATATATATAAATTATAGCACTCCATATTCTAAATAAATACATAAATACACATGCACGTACATACATGGCTGCTGTATAGTTATACGATTATATCAACTATATTAGGGTCCCGCTGCAGGCGGGGCTCTGAGCGCTGGCTCGGCTGCGGAACACTGTGCCTCCCTCGGATCAGGCAACACTCTCGGGGACGTATGGACTTTAGGCCTTTGGGGTTTAGGGTTTGGGTATTTAACGGTTGTAACGGCTGTGACTTGGGTGTTGGGGGTTTGGGGTCTCAGGACTCAGGGAATGCAGGGTCAAGGCTTTCAGGATCGGAGCTTTGGGAGTTCTTGCTTCTTGGGCCGATAGCTTTCAGGCGCAGAGTTTAAGGCTGTAAGGTTTTAAGGGAAATAGCAAACCAGGTGAAATCCAAAGGCCCGACAGGCAGAACCTCCCAAAACCCAACAGCCCCAACACAGGGGCCTCAACAAACACCAATTGTATTCCTCAGGGTTCCTTTGTATGCCTATACTTCTATACTACACTGTACTATACTCTACTATACTATACCATACCATACCACCCTATACCGTATTATACTATACTATCACGAAAATTTACGACACTTTTCTTGGAATATTTCCTTAATCTACTACGGGCTATACCCCAGAACCCTAGTCTTGGGGCAGACCGAGCAGCGACCCTGGGACGGGCTCGGAGCCGTCGGCTGCTGCTCCTCCTGTTCCTGCTCCTGTTCCTGCACAGGATACGTGTCTCCGTGTGTGTGTGTATATGCATATATATATATATAGATAGATATGTTTAGATATGCTTACGTAAAGGTGTCTGTAATATAGATGTATATCTACCCATAAACACACATATGTATATATGTGCATATGTATATATTTATTTGTCTGCTGATACATGCATATACAAACACATATACAACACGTCTGTATACACAGCTATACATATGTAATTATATATGCATGTGCACATTCTTATACCTGTACAGACACAGATACATGCACATATACATATACATGCACATGTACAAGTACACATGCATATAGATATGCACAGACTCTAGCATAGACATAGACAAAGACATTTACATGTAGTGGATAAGCACATACATGCGCAAAGATATATATATATATCTGTGTATATATACATATACATACACATACATAATGTGTATACATATGTATACATACATCATGTTGAATAGGATGCGAAAGGTTCTCGAAATCAGCATTCCTTGTTTAATCTAGGTTGCTACTAGTCTTTCGGGGATCCGAACACACACCGTAATTCACAGAAGCCCTCCATACCATACAGTAACGAGAGATGCAACTAGGTAAGGCATGGGTCTTTCTGTTTCCGCTGACGAACTTGTCTGAATCGCGTTTGGCGACATCGCCGCAAACCCATCCTTGCAAGGAAACCGTTCAAGAAGCCCAAGTTGGTCCAAGGCTTCCCAGTCTGTGCCTTCAGCCGCTCATTGATCAGCTTCCGAAAGCCGCAGGCAAACATGATTTTGTGTCCTTCGAGCTGGTTTCAGGGTTGAGGGTTGAGGGGATAAGTGCACCTTGTCTGCGGTCACTTCAACCATGACCCAGTCTGATGAGTTGATTCTGTATGGTGACTTCTGAAAAGAAGGCCGGGATGTTGACATCGCCAAGCGGCCATCAGAGCTGACAACGCAAAAATCTTAGCTCAACAATGCGTGCGCAAAAACCCGGAGCTCCAACTTCCATGCAAAATTCGAACCGTCAAAACGCAGAAGACCGTTTTTACAAAGATGTTTGCGATTTCGATTCCAAAGCTCCGGGATGTGCGAGACAAGCCCTAGATAAAGACAGCCCTTTTATGAAAGGTGTTGTGTTGGTCTGGGAGCATGGTTTTTGTACATCACGACTTGAGCATGGACACCACCAAAAGCGAAAATGTAGTATGGGTACAATGATTGGGTTTCGTGGCATGTTCCAACATCTTGGAACTCAAGAACTCTATTCAGGGGCCCGTAGTCGCAGGGGATGGACATGGCAGGGCCCCCTTCATGACCCGGCTCTGCTTTGACAACATTCGACGGCCCCGGCCTGTTTTGCTGAGCGCAGTGCTCTTCAGGAACGGTTTCGAAAAAACCATCTTCCTGGGACAGGCAGCTCTCTAACTGAACGTTCTTGTGTCAAATGATAGAAAGCCTGCTACACCAAGCACACATGGCCTGCTGCACATGCTCATGCAACAAGGCAGGCGCAAGCGTGTTGAACTGAGGCACTTGGTGTCGAGATCTTGCACAGCCCAGTCAACCAGCTCTTTCCAGCTGCTGCAGTTTTGGGCCATGCCCTGCCAAATTGTGGGAGATATTGATATGAGAGAGAAAGGGAGCTACAACGAGGCGCATAGAAAAAATCAGCAACCTCATGCATCATGCTGCGTATACAACTTCGAAGATCCTAAAACCGAAAGTCTGAACAAGGCCGCATGCTCGGACCCGAAGCCACAAACTTGTGAATGCCCACATCAAACCTTCAATGTTTGCACCGTGGGCATCCGTAACATGCATGCTCGCAACAAAAGACGCACGACACCAAATCCAGTACATACTACTTACCACCATTATGTTGGTGAGTGTTCTCACAACCTGTCACTGTACTGTTCCTATGATGATCAATACCACCATAAAGCCATAAATCAAGCGGTAGTTCTTGCGCGTTCTCGTTGATATTGTTACTGCAAGGCCTCGTGGTATTCCAGCATGACACCTTTGCCACGATCCAGGTTCAGCAGCCACTCGGCCAGCTCGTCCGCGAAGCCTTGAAGCAAAGCTTGCTTTGGCATACTTCTTCCTCCTGTGGTTTACAACGCCAGAGGAGTTCACCCAACATCAACAAAAACACGAACCCGAACCCGAGCCCGAACACTAACACCACGCGTAAATAATAAGCGTTAGCTTTTGGCAGTAGGCATGCAGCGTCGTTGGGCATTTGATCAGCATAGCCTTGACGCTAATATTAATATGAAGATTGACATTCAGACGCTCGCATGCATCTGTCCCACACCTTGGCGGGCATCGGAGAAACTAGCTGCTGTGCCGCCTGCTCCTGTTGTTCAGCTCTGGCAGATGCATTTCTGTCCGGCATACCCATGGGCTGCCATTTGGAGGGTCTGTGCGACTGTCGCCTGCTTTGACGGTCTGTGTACTGGGCATGCAGCTTTGCTCGCCCAGCACATCCAATCGTGAAGCGGTGAGAGGCTTCTGGTTCGACCGGAAGAAGTCAATGCTAGGTTGTGCCCCAAGCCTCCCGGGCATAGGGGAGAGGCAGAAGAGGGCGCAAAGGGAATCGCAGAGGAGGCTGCCTCACCTGGGAAGGAGGAAATTGGGATGGCCCTTGCTTTCAGCCTGCTCCAGATTGTCATCAGGGCACTGCCAGCGCGCAAATGCCTGCTTTGTTTGTTGGGCTGGCTCGCTCGGTATGGAGTTTACTCCACCAAAGGCGTGTCCTTTGCCATGGCTGCAAAAGCCGGTGCAGGCGGGACATTGAGGTAACAGGCTGAAGCGGCGAATCAAGTGCAAAGCCTACCGTTCAACGCTGACACAATTCACGCACCCGTTTTTGGGCACATGCTTGCTGGGAGCGGCGAGCACGAAGGGGCGGTCCAGAGTCCAGTTTTTGCCGGCAGCTAGTGTGCCGGCGATCTCTTGCAAGCAGCCTTCCAACACAGAACTCAGCGAGGCTTGAAGCGCTCCCCGCCGCGACGAGTCGAACGGAACGTATCAGGCTGCCTTTCGGGAAGACCGAAGCTGCGAGCTGCCGAAAACGTAACACCGCTTTCCGATATGGGTCCTTTCGAACCTCCTGTGTTTCGCCTGCAATTCAAGCAGCTCAGACTCCCTCGCCCAAGAAAAGACGAGAACCCTCACACTTGGGAAAGTATGGACGAATTGCTCAGCCCATCTGCAGCTCCCACCGGACTTGCGAGCGGGCCAGCTCTTGTTCTAGATGCCTGCAGCACACTGTGCCTGATTTGATGTAAGCCAACGGCAAGTAGCCCTCCTGTCCCCACCCCAACAGAATATTTATCTGCGAACAGTAGCCATCAGCATGCTGTCTACACCAATGCGTGACTGGGGCCCCAGATCTGTATTTTCTCTTGGTTTGGGCACTCCATCGGACTCGACAGCTAAGACTTGTTGGCCGCGTGAGCTGGTAAAGCTTAACGAGCAAAAGCAACAGCGATTCCGATAACAGTAGCAGTAGCAGTAGCTGTAGCAGCCGCAGTAACAGTAGCCGTAAGAGTAAGTGTAAGAGCAAACAAGTAGGAGTAAGAGCAAGACTAAGACTGAGACTCTGAGAGTAAGAGTAAAAATACGAGTAAGAGCAAGAGTTAGAGTAAGAGCAACAGCAGCAACAACAACAGCTACAGCGATGACGATAACAGTAGCAGTAGCAGCTGTAGCAGAAGCAGTAGTGGTAGCAGTAGCAGTAGCAGTACCAGTGGCAGTAACAGGAACAGCAACAGCACTAGCAACAGCACGAGAACCGGGACCAGCAACGACACCGGCAGCTATCTCACCCTTGTCGAAAAAAATCTTGGTCCGCAGTGTTACGATGATTGTTGATGATGCTTCTGCTTGCTCTAGTCCTATCACAGCTGCTGCTACATGTTTCCTGGAAGGATGCCGCGGCCTTCCTCCCTGGGACGCTTCACACCATTCGTGGCGGGCTTCCCCACGGGAGTCGGAACACCTGCCAGCCGTCGATGCTGGGTTCAACTTGTCTTCGGATTTAGGTTTGTGGAGTCAACTGCATCCAGCATCTTGCCCCCCCTTTACCGCTCTCATGTGCCAATTTGGCAAGTCGAGTCTTGGATAGTTAGGAGAAGCTTCGGCTAAAGACGGAGCGTGCAGCTTGCAGGGTTCAGTGCAGGACCAGATGATGACACGGTTGCGTCATGGACGATCGGAATCCGCTATGGTGAAGCTGCCTCCGCGCAGCCTAAAATAGATACACTAAACCGACAAATTCAAATCCCATTTAGGTAGGGTCGCGGGGTTCAGGTTGATCCCCTTGGCCTAAGAGCTTCCGTTGAAAATCCCAGAGATTCCCAAAATGCATGGTTATGCAACATGTAGGGTTTTAGGGTTTAGGCTGATCAAATCAAGGAGCCCCAAAACCCTATAAACCCCGAACCCTAAAGCCCAAGCCCTAAACCCCATATGCCCTAAACCCTGAATCATTGCGGGTGTTGGAGTCTCTGGATCCACAGCTTCTCCGTGGATTTCGAGAGGACTCAGGCTCAATCGGGGCGCAGTCGTTGTGTTCAAGAATTCCCGGGCCAAGGATCCTCCACTAAGTTCTGTCTCCAACAAGGAAGAACACCACACACAGATCCAAGTCCGCAGAACAGTTCTTGAAGCCTGATCCTGATTATGTACGATCTCTTTACTCCCGATATGTATATATGTCTATGTACATATGTATACAGATATGTATATATGTATATACATACAAATGATTAAGACAGAAGCCGACAAACTCCTCCACCCTCTGCTCCCGAGGGCCCGGCGTGCTGTCGGTGGCTTGGAAGGCTCCGCCGGCTTCAGCTTCGACGCGTCCGGTGGCTTCGTCGGCTCTGCTGGCTTTTGGCTCGGCTGCGGCCTTCCGAGAGGGTCACAGCTGCATTTGTCGCCTGGTCCCCACTACGCAACGAAAACCAGGCAAGACTCAACCAATGTGTCAGCGCTTTGTTCGATCCGACCAACGCTTAGATTAGACTCGCGTCAGCATTGAATGCCAAACATACCCACACCATGCAACCCGACCGCCAAAGCTGTCCACAGGGCAGACGTTCTGAAGACTGATTCATTATGCTGGCGAAGCCTTGGATGCCAAAACCACGCAGCACTTGTTTCAACATCCGTCGGACTTCGTCCCACACTACGCTCGAAACCATTCTGTCGGCTTCTCAGACGAATGCCCAGCCTCCCATCCTAATGCCCCGAAAACCAAAGCGCTAAGCCTTTTAAACCTCAAACCCTAAACCCCAGTCCAACACCCGAAAAATCCGCCTCTTCGTCGGCTTGGGCACCGAGGGTCGCGCCAGCGCCGCCCTGGGCGTCGGACGCGCCTTCTGCTTCGGCCGCAAGGGCGGCGTGACCGGCATGGGGCCTTGGCTGAAAGGTTCCCGGTTGAAGCTTTCTGCATACGTTCACACAGCAAAACTGTATGAGGTATAGATATAGACACAGTGCGTCTTATGATACAACACTAGATCGGATTAGGTCAGATTAGGATGGGTTAGTTTAGCTTAGACTACAGAGTGAGTTGGGTTTGGTTTTGTTTCTGGAATAGGTTAGACTATGTTCTATCACGATGTAATTAACTTATATACGATCATTTAACCGGAAAAGAATACACAAGCATGACACTCTCAGCAATATGTAGCAGCACATACACATGGAGTGCTGGAGTAACGCTGGATATCTTAACACATCATGACATCTGTTCACATGTCGCAATATGCTGTGGCCGAGCACGAGAAATATCTGTACATTACCAACCTTGGAAATGAACAGATACGTACACCAACAACTATGTCGAGTCTACTAATGCCACGAATGCTGTACTAAACAGTAGGGGTGTTTGTATCGAAAACACACCGACAACATGTGATAGCAGATGGGAAGAGCAATTTCGGACAAAATTACATATTTCATAGAACATGTCCTGCAACCACATGCGGTCAGATGTAATCATTACAGCCACCATGAACAAATGTAAATTTATTGCTGCTGATGGGCGAAGTCATGCATTGCCGAAACTGCGGAATGTATCCTGATTCTTGCAGTTTGGGGTCCTTGAGGTACGAAGCCGTCCTATGTCATAAGTTTGTGCAACAAGTACCTACAGCTTATTGGGAACCTGGCCCGAGTTAAATAAAACCTAGAACAATGAAATCAAAACATAACACAAAAGCAATTCAATATCATGGATATAAAAAATACAGAAAAGCACAGCAACCAACCACGATTGCAAAAAAAAACAAACACCAAACAAAAAACAAAACAGGGAAGAAAAGGCTCGTTGTCTTCCTTGCTGCAGTCTTGTTTGTTTTGTTTGTGTTTTGGAACTGTGCTGTTTTTGTTGTGTTGCTTCGTTGTGTTTTGATTTTGTGTTTATTCGCAAAATTAAAATATCGTTGATTTCCAAGGAGTTACAGGCCTGCTGATGTCACAATCATAAATCTGCAGTAATGCCTTGGTGCTGTATTGAACCAGCCGGTAGCAAGATGTACACCTTTACAGTAATACATGGTCGTCGAACATGATACATAAACGCTTGTAGCCATATAAAACCATGGGACAATGATGCATGACCATGCCACGCAAACGACCACTACAGCATGATATCGGGCACAGCCATCTATGGTACTATAGAGCAGAAAACCCTTCAAGTTGGGGTACCGTTGAACCTCACCAGGCGACTCCTTCCCGGCTCCAGCAAGCGCGGCTGAAGCTAGCGGAATTGAAAACGAAGGGGCAACATGCTTGCCTTCTCAGCTCCTCCATCTTCCGAACCTAACCTCGTCCTCGGCGTTATCTCGTCATCGTCGTCGCCGTCGTCATCCTGGTACTGTTCTTCTGCAGTACCGACCATGCCTGTCAATTTTGCTATGTTTGCATTGGCCATGTTTCCTACTGCCTTTTCTATACATGTTGTTGTTTCGTGCCCCTGACTCCCTGACCTATAGAAATGCAGCTTCGCGACTTGGCGTCGGAGCAGATGAGCTGGGAGTGGCTCTTGCCGTTGGGCCAGACACTGGCCGAGGCGGTATCGCCTTACACCATTGGTGGCGACAGGGGGCCTCCGGGGCTGAGGGGAAACGCAGTCATTGACAGCACCGCTTGCCCCCGAGTGCTGAGGGCGGATGTTGAAGACACCATCTCAAACTCAGATGCACGTCTTGAAACCGAAAAACGACTCTGTCACTCAAAACCCTTTGCACTTCCTAGATAAAGTGATTCCAGAGGCGCCCCTGGTCTAGCAGAAACAGCAGGTGGCGGGACCTGTCTCAGGAGGAAACGTTTCGGCAGCACTCTCCCTGGAAGTTCTACGTACCTGAATAGGAAAAAGCTGTGCCAAACTTCTCGTCCAGTCTAACTGAGTTTGCTGAACGGTGGGTGTGTGCCAAGGTCGAGGCTTCTTGGTGCGTGAAATGCACGCTCACAGTCTTTGGCATGCTGGGTATTCGACGGCCTGATTTGTTTAGAAATAGTATTGGGATCCCTAGTCAATCTGTAGTATAGAACCCCTAAAACACATAGTATAGTTATTCAAGTGTGTAGTATTTAAAGTATAGAGTACATAGTATAAAATAAAAGTATAAAGCAAACGGTATATAGTAAGCAGTATATCATAAAGGATATAGTGAAAGTACAGCATGCTACGGTGTAGTAGACTACGAAGAGTACTGAGGTGTCTGTAGCATCCTCGGAGATGTCAGGCCTCAGTTCTCGAATTGCTAGCTGCTAGCAGGCTCAACACCTACAGTGTCCTAGTCTCAACAGCGACGACCCCCTCGTTTGCAGGGACCTTCGGTTCCATGGCTAGGGAAAGCCTCGGATCCCGAAAGGCCCAGAGACCTGTCAGAAATCCCACCGCTCATCCTGAAGAGCTCCGTTGCCACCCGGCCTTTGGACCCAGGGTCACATAAAAAGACGAGCTTCCTTTAGCAACCAGAAAGTCCGCAATCCTTTTAAAACTGTAACTAATACTGACTGATGGTGGGCGCATTAGTGCACCCACCAATCAGATGCATCATGTAAGCAGATGTCAAAATTTTCAGAGAAAAGAGGCCGTAGCTCACGCAAAGAACTTAACGAATCCATGACATAGAAACGTAGAAGACAACAGCGACAAAGCCAAAAAAGGCGGAAAATAAACAACCCAAAACAAACCAACGGACCAACACAGGCAAATTCAGACAAAACACAGACACACAAGTCAACAACCAAGGAAGGGCAAAACGAGCACTAAAAACAACTCGTAGAAGGTTCCAGACCTCACATCGCCACCGCAAGAAGGCAAGGCACAAGACGAAACATGACAGCCGGAAACCAAGAGGAGCAGACATACGAGCGTCATGAGCATTCCCATCATGAGCATTACGGCGCCTAAATAAAATCTAAATGTACTCGTAATGGAAAGGACCATAGCTGCAACAAAAGCCGCCGGAGCCCCGACGGTACAGGGGCTTGAACAGCCGGACGATGCCGGACTGCAGCCAGCTCAAACCAATGGACGGTTCACGTAAAGCTACGTAAGACAAGATGCGCAGCTATTCTTTCCGCGTTTTTCGGACACGGACAGCCGAGGCGCAGCCATCGCTTGATCTGCCCTCCCGCACTTCCCTTCCCTGCCCCAGCTCCTTAGAAAACCACGACCTGATCGACTCCGGGTTATGACCCAAGTCTTCCATGACCTCATGCTGAAACTCACCTGGGAGAAAGCACCCCATCGCAGGGGACCGGAACATCTGGCTGACATCCCCGCCCAAGTGGATCTGCCACGGGGGATCTTTGACCTGCGCGGATTCCACCACATCCTCCACCGTGAGGCCCGCCAAACCCTGCCGCACTTCAGCAGAGAGTCCTTGCTCCTGCAGCTGCTGCACAACCAAGTTGAAAACCTGAGCCTTGTTGCAGCGAACAGGGCTCTCAGCCGCCCCGCCCAGGCAGCCCCACCTTCCCCTTGCTTCCTCTTGGCACCCTCCTCCACTCCGCCAGGCCTTCCTCCAACCGTGCTCGAAACGGCCCGCCAAACAAAACCCACTGTCGTCGTACCTTGTCCTTTCCAAACCTTGAGCAGTTACGTTCGACAGAGCCTCGACATTCCGGAGTTGACTTTCCAAGGAGTCCACCCGCGCAGCCACAAACCGCTTAGACCAGCGTTGCGCTACAGATGCAAATCCTGAAGAACACTCGAGCTAAGCCTCTGCCTCTCAGGTTTAATTCCGAAGATGACTTGAGGATCATTTCGGGACAGCCCTGCGGCGCCTGGGGCATCCAGTGGCCCGGAGGCACGCCTGATGCTCCTGGTGCTTGGGCCTGTGATTGGTAGGAACTGCAACTTAGAGTGACGGAGTGCAGGGATTTAGGACTTTACAGTTTGGGCCTCCTTGGCCAGGCAGAGATTATGTCAGCATCGCCTTTAAGGTCAGTTTTCTTCGGAGCGACTTACCTGAGGAATTAGATCCCTTGTCATCTCGCGGGGCAGGCGAAGACGCCTGGAAGACAAAAGGGGCATCCACCGAAGCTACGCACAATCGGCCATCTCCTGGTTCTTCTCTATTGCAGCAGCAAGTGAGTGCTAAGTCACTGCTATTCCTACTCCTACTCCTCGTCTCTACTACTACTACTACTACTA